AAAAAAATGTGCAAATGCATTTTTGTGTCTAAATTCAGTGGTACAATTGTTTAATTTAAAGCATTAATCATCTCTGAGAGGTTTCTATGAGAGGTTATTAGGCCATAAGTAGAGGAGTGTAACAGCAGCAGACAGAGGTTCAATAACGCATTTAGAACTAATTCATCAACAGTAGAATGAACTCCGGTTTGAGGCTTTGAATAACAGGATCCTCGACTCTTAAGTAAAGCACAGAACTACAACGTACTGTCATCGTCTAGCACCAAGAAACATCAGAAATAAACCAGTTAACGCAGGCTTTTAAAACATTACGGCTAGAGTACAGTAATGCAAATACTGTGGAGGCTACATGGAGAGCTGGAACCTTCAGCGCGACATCCCTGATCTGCTCCTTTCACTTCCTGGAATGTGGACGAAGTTCATAAAAACTTTCCAGTCAGAGGCAGCTGAGACATGAACAGGCAGCTGGAGCTCATTCTGACTCTGTCCTTCAGGAGCAGAGGTCACCAAAATAAGGACGACATGACAGGAGCATTCTGCACTAATTCATTTGAAACGAACGCTGTTGTCTGGGTGAAGCTGTGGCAGCAAAATAATTTGGATTTTGAAGGATTTGCAAATTCACGATGTCAAACAACTCCAGACAAATCCAAAATGAAAATATCTGAATTATTTAGATTAATGTTTCAGAAATTCATACAGCACATTGTAAAAAAGACATTAAATAACGCACCATATGATCACTAGTTTATACCTAACACCACTTGTTGACCATTTTCTACCCTCAACTGTAAAACATTTCTTCAAAGAACTGATATTTGATCAACAGCATATTCTTTTCTAATATCTTTAATTAATACCCATGAATTAATTAATAATTATTAAAACTAATTAATTAGCTGTCTAAGAATAATTTCGTTTTGGCATGCTAGCTAGCTAGCTTGGCAAACAGCTTGTTAAGCTAGTATTCAGTTGCTAGCTGAATAACAATGAGAAACAGGAGAAAAGGTTTATTTGGCATTACGGTGTCCTAGTGAACTAGCTAGATTATCAAGTCATTGCTATTTGATTTAAGCTAGTAATATAGCTTTTTTTCTTTTTTTAGCTGCTAGCTAGCTACTCTGGACCTATCTGTAATCATAATTACACAATTTGTTCTCGCATACTAGTACATTTACACCATTGGTTTGCATATCATTTTTTTTTGTTATATCTTAGTTTTGACTTAATTCACTTTACAAATTAAATTTGTTTTAGCTATCTGGCTTGCTTTTGTGTTAACTAACTTGCTTACCAAGTTCCTAGTTTGGTGTAGCTTGTGACATAGCTAGTTTTGTCGCTAGTGTTCATCACAGTGTCATAATCACAATAACACATATTGTTTTGTTCCCTAAATAAAAATAAAAGCTGTTTTTTTAATGTAGTTATGGTTGCATTTTACTTTAGCTTGCTGTTAACTAGCTAACTGGCTTGTAAAACTAGTAATGTTGTCAGTTTAGTTTAGCGTGAGCTAGTAATGAAGCTAGTTGTCTAGCTAGTATCTACTGGCTACTTTCTAGATTTATACCCTCTCTATTACTTTATTCAACTAAAATTACCATTTTCAATTTTAAACTCTGTTTTGGCATGCTAACTTAACAACTAGCTCACCAAGCTTGTGCTAAGCTAGTTGTCTCATGTTTCAGTTGCTACCTGTAATTGGGACAACTGCAGTAAAAACCTCTGATTTTTGTTGTAATTAGTAAATGAAGTACTAATTAAATATTCAAACCCTATTGTCCTGAAAAGTTTTACTTGCTCAGTATAACTCGCCATTAAACTAGCCAACTAGCTTACCAAGCTAGCAATATTTTAATTAATAATCTACCCTTTATTTTCTTAAACCTTTTGAAATTTTGTTTCGGTAAACTTAGCAACAAACTCACAAAGCTAACACTGAGCTAGGTTTCACCAGGAGACATGTTGCTAGCGGTTTGCTTTACCTCTTAAACTTTGTATTTACAGTAAGTGCTTCCATTGCTGATTTCTGTTCTGCAAGGCGCCTTCATAAACTAGTTCTATAAAATGCACTTATTCAACAACAAAAGCAGATTTCTGCTGTTAGAGAAGGCAGAAAGGAGGAAAAGTCCGTCACACGTACCAGCTGTGAGAATTAACTGAAAAAAAAACATGAAGCTGAAGCACAATTTGGTTTCAAAAGATTTTGACCTTAAAAATCAGGAGATATTTAAACATGTAGTTACAACACCGGCTGTTTCTTCATGTTTACCTCACTTCTTCAGGGCAGGTTATATATCTCAGATAAGAACAGGCAAGCAGTTAAAAGACTTCTATGCACTGGTTACTTTTCATGATTTTAGCAAATTGTTCTTTTTGTGCCGATTAAAACAACATTAAGCTGCTTATTGCTTATAAATAATATAACATTCTTTTTCTTTATTTTCTAGTTTTTCTTACTCGTCATACTCTCAATTTATTGACTGATATTTTTTGGTTGTTATTGTTATTATAAGATAAGAATTTGTTGATTAAACAGGATTTAAATTACTGTCAGAACCAAAGTAAAACCTGCTTCAAGCTCTGCAGGCACCAAATGCAGCCAGTGTTGTAGGAACACCAGCTGTGCTCCAGACTTTGCTGTTATTTTTCAGTAACCTCGACATGAATCCGTGTGAAGCTTCCAGTTACACGCCGCGGTTACTGTGGCTTCAGAGCATCAGAGGTTTAGCTGTTTGATCCTGCGCGCTCATTAGCCCTTGATGCAACATGACTGATGTCTTCTGATACTCATAAAGCCAGCGTGACCAAAGACAAGAAGAAGGAAAAGAAGAAGAAGAAGAAGGCAGCTCCCCGGAGGTCTGTGGTTCAGATAAACATGATGTGGCAGCAGCTTCTGAACAAACTGCCCGTCAGCTTCACTGTTCGCTCTCTCCATGTTTTCTGATGACATGATGACCAACACTGAGGTCATCATCATCATTCTACGCTTGACAACAGAAGTTATGAGGACATATCCAGTGAGTCTACTGCTACTTACTGCACACGAACAGTCACACCTGGACAGAAACTCAACCCATGTTCAATAGTTTTCTAGGTGTTTTTGTTCCAGCACAAAGCTTATTCATTCTGAGAAACTGTAAAACTCAACGTTAATTCTTTCCCAATCTCTAGCTGTGGATGGCTTTAGTTCTTGTTACTGTTTGAAGTAAAAAAAAAGGAATATTAGCCTCTGTTACTGAGATCTGTGTAACTGGTGAGCGCTCGGACAGCAGGAATGAAACCCAAACCCGACTCGTGTTGATCCAAGAATCCGTCCCGCTGTTAAAGTCAGACCTCCTCCGTTGTTCGGGTCACCCTGCGGCTCGTCAGCGTCGACACAAAGCTACATGAGGGACTTCACTGCTGCCTCCACAATGGCCTCCCGGTGCAGAAGGAAGCAGGTGAAGGCAGGACGCTGATGTGCAGGTGAGCTGGTCAGTGTCCCTCGTCTCTGGAAGACGGACTCTCCGAGCATCCGTTCCTCACGTTGGCTGATGACTTCTTCTGCTTCTGCTTGGACTTCCTCAACATCCGAACCTCCAGACAGAAGAAGGCAGAGAGAGGAGAGCCAGACTAAACACCAACAAATACAGTTGAACAGTAGATGACCAATCAAAACAAATAGTTATTAGACCTCCTTGTTTTCTTCAGTTTCTTGTTCATTTTACCGCCTAGTACCACTCAAGGTCCATTTGTTTGGACAAATATAATGATAACAACAAAACTAGCTCATCAGTTTAACTTCAGAGCTGATATCAGACATGTTCCAGCTTTTCTTGGTAATAAGTTCTTCCATCAGTAGATATGGCATTGTGCTGCCAGAAGCAGAGCTTTTAGACGTTCCATGTTTTCTGTTCTGTCTGTTTTAGTCACATGATGCACAGGAGTTAGTACCTGATGGCAGAACCATAGTTTCTGATGACTGCAGCCATGCGTCTTGGCTGCTCTCCACCAGGTTCTGACATGGTTCTGCTGCCACAGCAGCCCATTCCTGCTGCTCACATTCACACTAATGTGCTTTGTTGCAAGCTTGTGCTTTTCCATTGAGCCTTTGATGGTTTTCCACAGGTTTTCAGTTGGATGTAGATCTGGTGACTGAGCGGGCCAAGGCCTGGTTCCAGTGTTCTGGTTCTCCATCCAGGCTTTAACGGACCTCGCCGTGTGCCAAGGGGCATCGTCTGGTTGGAAAATCCAGTCACTGGAGGCAGGAAAGAGTTTTCCAGCTGAAGGCAGAAGACTGTTTTCCAGAGCAGCCTGTACATGACCTGGTCCATTCACCCTGTTCCACCCAAACTGGAACCAGCCCAGATGGTCCCTGATCCACCCCCATGTTCTGCTGCAGGGGCAGGACAGTCTGGTCTGTAAGCTTCTCCAGACTTCCTCCTCACCAGGAAGTGGGCTGGAGCGGGCATCAGCTAAACACTGGATTCATCCCTGAAGAGAACCTCAGCCCAACCATCACCAGTCCAATCCTTATGATCCCAGCAGAGAGTAACCGGGCTTCCCTCTGCCTTTGGTTGATGAAGGGCTTCTTCCGTGTTCTGTGTGACTTCAGACCAGCTTCAACAAGTCGGTTTCCAACTTTCCTTGCCCAACAAGTCCCATGTCTGCACAGTGCCCCTCATGTTCAGGTCCCTGGAGGTCTGACCACGATTCCTGACACAGAACAGATGAGTGCTCGGTCATCTGGTGGGTAGGAAGACGTTTCCTGCTGCCACCAGCTAGCAATGTGGTAGCACCATGTTGTTGTTTCTTGGTGTGATGAACGGCTGTCTTGGAGATCTTCAGGTGTTTCTCTACCTGTCTCTCACTCACGCCAGTTTCCAGCAGAGCCAAGATGGCTGCCTTTGTGGCTTCACATGGTTCTTCTGTTTTAGGCGTTATGTGAGAGCTGACAGCTTCTGAGTTGTGCTACGGCCTGAATGTAAGCAGGAAACCACTCCAGGCCTCTGCATGTGCTGCTGATGACATGAAACGGCCTCTTATAGACCCTACAGGGAACACAGTGAAGCTGAAACAGGTCACATAGGACATAAAGTATGATGGGATCAGCTGCATGTTTAGTCCTGTTCATTGTATTCTTCAGGTGATGTACCTTTAGTGGTGCCAGGCATTAAAATGAACAAGAAATGGAAGAAAACAAGGTGCTCTGATCATTGTTTTCCATGACTGTACTGTAGAAAAACTATATTTTGCAAATTCAGGCTCCAAAGTAGAAACTCAAAGCAACAAAACTGAATCTAGTTGTGATCACTGAAGCTAAACTGAGTCCACCTGTGATTTCATCACTCTAACTGCATGAACATGGTTCTAATGAGCTATAAACACCAGAACTTTCTCAGTTTTGAACCTGTTCGTACACACAGACATCTGAAATACACAGAATACACTCAACAAGAGATAAAGTAGAAAGAGGAACCACATCATGAAGTCGGAAAACAAAGACAAACAAACCAGATGAATACGAGACTACAGGTGCCCTGCAGGGACAAACAAACGAACCTTCGGTCCAGCAGCAGAGATGATGATGTGACCTGGCGGCTGGATCCACGGCTCTCCGTCCACCTGCACAGGTATGGGTTTGCTGACCGTCAGCCTGATGTAGTTCCCTTGAGCAATACGAATCCCTGAGCGCAGGCCGCTCTGCACCTGACCCTGTACGCACACAGACACACACAGACACACACAGACAGTTGAAAGCTCCGGACGAAGCCTGCTGAAGCCTTTGAGTGCAGCTCTTCTCACCATGTGGACGACCCCGGTGACCCCGACCACCTCCAGCAGTCCGTCGTCGATGCTCGGCTTCCCAAAGCGCCCGTCGCCCTCTGATCCCCAGAGGTCCGCACCAGAACCCCAACTACACACAGACACACACACAGATAGACACATTCACACACACACACACGTAGACACACACACACAGAAGAATGTGAGGTCAAAACTTCCATCCATCCATCATCTCTACACCTTAATCCTCACTAGGGTCATGGGGGGCTGGAGTCTATCCCAGCTGACTCAGGGTGAAGGCAGGTTCACCTGGACAGGTAACCAGTCTATCACAGGGCTACACTTAGAGACAGACAACCAAGCACACTCACATTCACACCTACGGACAATTTACAATCACCAATTAACCTCAGCATGTTTTTGGACTGTGGGAGGAAGCTGGAGAACCCGGAGAGAGAGAACGTTCTGCACGGGGAGAACATGGAAACTCCACACAGAAAGATCCCGGTGCCCCAACCGGGACGTGAACCGGTAAATCTTCTTGCTACGAGGCAACAGTGCTAACCACTGAGCCACCTGGCAGCCCAGGTCAAAACTTTTGTTCTACAATTACAAAAAATGTGAATAAAATGTCAGGAAATATCAACAAAATAAAACCTAAAACATCAGAAATTACAACATGAACATGAATGTTTTGCATTCACACAGAATCGATTTCATATTTCATTAAAATAATTCAGCAGAATTTGAAGCAGGTACAGATCTGTGTCCTGGTGATGCTCATGTTGAGCATGTTCTCAGCAAGCAGTCACAAAATGCTCTGAATGCATACAGAGAACATGATGGATCACACAGCAGACAAATTACTAAAAAGATTTAAACACGTTTTCTTCATCCTCCTAAGAATCTGTGTGAAAATATTATTAAAACATGTAATCAAAAACTGTCCATAAAAGGTTTCTTTAGTGAGGAATTAAACAGCATTTATATGCTTGTAAGGGATCGTTTTATATTCACAGTTTCTGTCATTGAATTCAGCTTAACAGAGGTGCATGTGCAGATGTAACCCAGAAGTTGTTCTGACTGACTTTCATTTAATCAGCAGGTGAACGTTTGCCCGTGTGTTGTGCTACCTGGGTATGTTGAGGAAGATCAGCCCCTCTATGTTGGGTAGAGCCACGTTCTGAGCATCCACCTGCAGCTGCAGCTCTTTGTGGAGGCTCCTGGTGTGGCTGATCTTCTGCAGGCCCACCTTCACGTACACACCTTTGTTATGGAACCTTTGAGGGGCAGAGAGCAGAGGGGCTGATGGGAAATGTGGTCTTTGGTGCAAAATCACCCATTTGTGGTACTGCAGGAATCTATCCGTCTGTCACAAGTTTTACTGAAGGTTTTGATGTCTGTCGTGTGCACTGGAGCTACCAACCTGCCACGAGACGCAAACGACCACAAAGAGACACAAAAACACAAAACGACAATGGAAATGCAAAATGAAACAGAGAAGAAGACAAAAAGACACAAAAGTATGAAAAACAAGCACAAATCGATGGAAAACGGTTGCAAAAAGCTGCTTTTGTGTTTGAGGAGGTCCAGTGATGAGACTGACAGGATGCTGTCACAGAGTATTCCAGCTGGTTGTATAGCTGTGAGCACAGAGCAGCTGGAGGAGCTAACGGCGTCTCCAGTGAGCTGCTGCTGCTCTGATCTGAGGCATCAGGAGTGTTTCTCTGTTTTAACCCTGAAACATCATGACTCTCTGAACTGCTGTAAAGCCTCAACTAACAGCTTTACTGGCCAACAACCTGCTTCTTGTTTATTCTGTCGTCATCTCAAGAAGCTCAGCAGACATCGGTGTCTGTCCCTGCAGCTCTGTTGGCGTTTCTTGTGAAATTCTGCACGAACCAGAAGACAGACAGCTGCAACCACCAGTTCACCAGCCAAAGCCTTCATCATCACTGCTCCCCCGTCACATGATGTGAACGCAGCACCGTGTACAGTCTCTGGAATGAACTGAGGTGTAGAAGATCACCTGCTGGTGAATTTGTCAGGTTCATCCTCTCGGGCGAGGTGGAAGTCCAGGCTGAGCTCTGCATCGATGCCGATACCAAAGTAGTTGTTCATCTGGACGATCTGAGAGAAAGAAAGACAGAGAGAGTTATTCCCACAACGCTGTTGTCCATCATGTTCAGGTAGCACACACAGTCATGGATAAGAGTTTCCACACACATGTAAAGATCAAGTACAGCCATGACTGGATGATCCGACACTAAATGTAAAACCTTCTTCTATGTCGGA